ATTTTGGTCCTAGTTGTATAATTCCTTAGCTATGTGATTTTTTAACCCATTTTGTCTCCTATATTCACACTGGTAAAATGGCAGTAATAATAAGAATACTTTTTACTTACCCGAATCTTCTATAAAGATTTTACAAGATAATAGAATAAAAACTTTGAATTGCCACTTTAATAATATGTTATCTGTGATGGTATAAATGTACACTGCATGAATTGCTACAAGAAACTAAGCCAGAACTATTAAACGATTGAACTAAAAATGTCATATATATTTATACTTATAAATATACATACACACATATATATGAATGACTCCTCATAGAAAAGAAAAAAAAAGTTAAAACCCTGAAAATCTATCATTGGGAAAGTTGGACACCAAGTTTATCTTGCTTCCTATGCTCCTAAAATATACAAAAATTTCTCTGCCCTGTGGTTAATTTTTTTCTTTACGAGTCAAAGAAGTTCATAGTGAAATAGATGACTACAGGGGTAGCTCTAGAAATGTTGATAAAAGCTGTGTTTTACCCTTTCAAAATAAAAGCTTGCTCCTTTCTGACAAAAATTCAATGAGATGTTTCCTTGAGCTCAGAAAAGAGTCGGAGGGAAAATTTCATTAATATCTTTTTTCAAACACTCTGTGAGCACCTGCCATGTTCAAGTACCTGCTCTATAAGATTCATTGGCCAAGAAAACAAAAGCCCTCCTGTCTGGCTCTTTCAGTTTAGTGACAGGCACAGGTAAGTAATCCAGCGATGACGATTCAGGGCTGTGGTGGAGAAACACAGGGCACAGTGCGAGAACCCAAGAGGGATGCTTCACCCAGGATGGGGTTGGGGAATGACAGGACAGTCTTCCTGGAAAAAGTGAGAAAGCAAGCTGACAGCTGAAACTTCAAGCCAACCACATGAAGAGCTGAAAGAAGACTACTCCACGTAGAAAAAATAGAATGTTAAATGCCTGGGAGTAAATGAGGATAGTATATTCCAGGAACCCAAAGTTGTTTGATCTGACTGGATGATACACTGAATAGGGAATAGGAAATAAGGCTGGAGAGAGAACCAGGAGCCAATCATGAAATGGCCTATTAAGTCATATTAAGAAGTTTGGATTTTATCTTGAGGGCAATGAGATTAATCAAGGGGTAATATACTCACATTTGCAATTTAGGAAAAAAAATTCTGATTGCAGTATGGTGAACTAATGACAGTGAGTTAAAGGAGAGGAAGGCTAGAGGCGAAGAAACTAGTTGTAATGCTCTTGCAGTATTTCAGGCAAAAAAGAAACATTGAGCCAGCCCTGATGGCCTAGTGGTTAAAGTTCAGCGCTCTCACCACTTTGGCAGCCTGGGTTTGCTTCCTGGTCATAGAATCACACTACTCGTCTGTCAGTTGCCTTGCTGTGGTGGCGGCTCACATAAAACAACTAGAAGGACTTACAACTAGAATATACAACCATGCTCTGGGACTTTGGGGATGAAAGAAAAAAAAGAGGAAGACTGGCAACAGATACATGCTCAGGGCAAATCTTTCTCTGCAAAAAAAAAAAAAAGTTGTAGAAGAAGAAATGTTGATGACTGGTAGAAATAGGGATTGGAGTAATGAATGAATCTGAGAGTTATTTAAAAGACACAAGCCACAGAACTTAGGGGTCCATTTTTTATGGGGGCAGTAAAGGAGAGAGAGCAGTCAAGGCAGATAACTTTCTTGTTTTGCTTGGGCAACTGTTTGCATGATGACACTATTCACTAAGGTCGTACACAAGACTACAAGTGTTCTGTGGGAAAGGGAATAATGACCTCAGTTCTGACTATGCTGAATCTTGGGTATCCGAGACATTTGATGGAGAAGTAGAATAGTCAATTGGAAATGTAGGTATAAAGGTCATGAGAAAAATCTGGGCTGCAGGTACTTATTTGGGAATCATGAATAACATGGCCTTAGCTTCTGAAGCTAGAGAGTAGATGAGATCACTCACAGTGAACCGTGTGAAGAAAGAGGACATGATCAACCCCTCAGGAATACAGATATTTAAGGAAAAGGACAAGATTAAGCCCAAAAGTTAAACTGGGAAGGCTGGCCAGAGGGGTAAGAGGAAAAGCAGTCAAGTTTGATGACCTAGAAATCAAGAAAAGAAAGGACAGAAGAAGGTTATGGCCAAATAACCTCAAAACGAAGTCAAATACTTCAGAGAAAAATAGAATAATAACAAAAATTGTTCTTTAGACCTAGAAACTTGGTTCAAACAATTTGGTAAGCTTCCTGAGAGTAGTTTCTTTGGAGATTAGTGAGAGAATTTAGATTGCTCTGAAGATTGAAGTGTGAATGGGAGATGAAGATGTGGTATAGAAAAATTCCTTCAAGAAATTTGGAAGAGAGAGGTTGAAAGTTAATAAGAGGATAACATGGGATTTGGAGAAGGATTTCTTTCTGGAACAAAACAACTACATCATATATAAATGCTTATGGGAAGAAGCTGGTACAAAGTACAATAAAGCAGGAAGAAAAATGATGGTGTGAAACCCATTGGTAGTGACCCAGAGGAAGGTGGGATACAACGTCAACACGATTACATTTCCAGCTGTTCAACACAAATACTTCCTGCATCTCCAGTATCTGAGATCCAGGACCTGAATATATTGTCCTTAATTAGGAGAAACAATATGATTTGGTGTCCACAACATAGCCCTGCAGTCAATTATTCTAGATTCTATTCCCAGTTTTGTCACCACCTGTCTATGAACATTGAGCAAGTGACTCAACTTGCCGGCCACGTAAAAGCAAAGTCCTTAGTATATATGCTTCTTATAAAAGAGAGGTCATAGGAGTAAATGTGATCCTAGGTAATAACTCTCTCGGACCTCGACCATTAGAGTTTTTTTATGCTTTGTAAATTTGCATGTTTTTATATTAGGGCTATGGAGTCTGTCCTCCTCCACTTTTTCTTTTTTTATCAGAACACGTCTGTATTCTTTCTATGCCATGTCCTATCTTGCAATTCAGAACTAACTACAACTTGAGTACTGTGAGCTCTTATAATTACTATATAGCCTCCTGTTACAAGTTTTAGATTGTTGAGGAAGGCACTTACAATGTGTAAATCTTGTCCTTGAGTACCAAAATAGATTTAGATTTTATTATAGTTTTTTGGAGATATTCAGAACCTTGGCTTCCTGAGCTGGGACTTAGAAACTGTGAATATTAAACAATAGAACAACTGGACAATCAGGAGCTCAGAGGTCTAAGCCTAGCTGGATTTCTCGATGAGATCATACTTGACAAGCCATTATTCCTGTCTGTGCCTCATGTTCTTCCCTATAACATGGGTATCACCTTTCAGGTGTTCATAGAAACAGTCTGGGAGAATATATTACAAGTCACTCTATGAATATGAGAAAATGAACTTTAACCCCAATAGACGAAAGGGGAAATAGAAAAATCTATAAATAGAAGTTGCTAAATAATGGGACCAAGTACATTCCATTTCTGCCATTGGGTTTGATTTGGTATCCCTGGTCCCTACCCAGAGGCCATATAAGATGTCATTGTGAGAGGGATGTTAAGGTCACGAGAGTCCTTGTCCCACTTATCTTTGTGACACTTTGCCCTGGTCAGTTGCCTAAGTACCATCAATGTCTCCTAACAGGGATCTACAGGAATTGCATGGTGGTCAGGCAGCTGCTTCTACAAGCAGAAATTGTTCCTGTTTTATTCGTCACTACCCACAGTCCCTAATGGGCAGGAAGAGTGAGAAAAAATAAGATTCTTTGATTATTGAACTCCTTCATGCTCTCTTGGCCTCCTCCCTCTCCCTGACACATACTTTCTCAGGGACAGCATAAGCTACTCAGAGTAAAAAAAGGAAAATCACAGTCAAACCATAAACTCTGCTATTTGTAATCAGTGCATAACCTCTGATGAAATTTGTAATTCACTTCCCACTTAAGCTTACCAATATGAGATCTAATGTTGCCGCCCTGAACACTAATGAAGGAAGTCAGGCGGCAGTACAGCTAGCCCTTGGGGACTCGTTTCTCACATCACCAAAAAGTAATTTCTGTCATTTTTGGCCGTCTGGTAGCCTAGATTGTGAAGATGAAGTTTCATTCAAGTAGTGCTTAAGAGTGTGGGCCCTGGAGTCTGCCTAGATTCAAATCTGCTTTCTGCCTCTCACCTAGCCCCATCTACATCTCTGTTCCCTAACCATAAACAAAATCTTCATAGGATATTATTTCCTTATTGTAAGGAGTTATTGAGATAATACTGGTAAATAATACCCTCTACATAGGGTCTTATGTATAGTAAATAATTAAAGTTAGCTATTGTTAACTTGTTAGTAGTAATGGTTGTGATAGTATTTGGAGTAATAGCAGTATTTTTGTAATACCTATCTATTTATGACATAGGCATTATTGATTCAGTTTTTAAGCTCTAAGGTACATTGTCCAGCCTGTCACACACCAAGGTGGTAGAGGCTAACCAATGGTTTCCTTATGTGACTAGATTATAACTAACCAGGTATTACCACATCTTATAACACAACTATGCAATCTTAAACTAAATAACACTATTTTTATTTTCCCAACATTTGGAGAAAAGATTGGGCTGTATTTATTTTATATACGTAGGAAAATAAATGTAGATAATATTTAGTGATAAGAAAATTTATTCTTAGTATGTATAAATGTGCATGCTCTCTAGTATCCAAATAAAGTCCATTCTAATCAGAAAAGAGCTGACATTTTCATTATACTACTCTGTGTACTTCCCACCGTACTTGGCCATAGTGCGGAGATTCTCACCTTATACTAAGACCCGTGCTTTTCATCTGCTCACTAAGTCTCTAAGGGGTCCTAAAGCACTCCGACTTCTTAAGACAAAAATTCAAATGGTTTAAGGCATAAAAGCACTTACGTCAAATCTGCCACTTCAGTTGTGTGGACCAACGCTACAAACCTGCTTTTATTGACACGGTTACATATTCTGTTTGCTTTTGTCTTTACAGTTCCACCAAAGATCTCCAACATCTCTTCGGATGTCACTGTGAATGAGGGCAGCAATGTGACCCTGGTCTGCATGGCCAATGGCCGTCCTGAACCTGTTATTACCTGGAGACACCTTACACCAACTGGTAAGCAACTCTCCAGTCTCCAAGGTACCACACGCAATTTAAAATATCCTCATGCTTCTGAGATTCCATTAGATCCAAAGGACAAGCATGTATCTTGTTATTAAAACACTAATAGAATTGTGACATAAGACTTGTTTAGGGTCCTCCCTGGTCTTTGCTAATGTGTTCATCTCTATAAAGTCTTCAACCATAGTACTATATTATAGATAGATAGATAGATAGATAGACAGCTCTTATTTCATTTTCAATAGAATACTCTCCCAAGGCAATAAATATAGAAGCATTAAATGCAGTAAATGACTTTTTATGTCTAAAATGTATGCCAGTTTGGTGCTTGAGTGTCTTGGGGCAATGTTTTGTATGGATTAAATTTACATGGTTCTTTGTATATTGTTTGTTCTGCTTTGCTTTTAACTATAGTTTTCTAATATGTAGCACTTTGTGAAGAAATCTTTCAGGAATAGTACAAAATTGTTTGTGACTTCCACTGTCCTGCCCTTCGCATCTGGCTCTGTGGAGGGGCATCAGGCATGGACTAAGCTGCATGAGCTCATTATGGATCCCCAGCTATTGATGCTAATTCAGTAAAATTCAGAAAATCTTTTCCCAGGAATGTCTTCTGCATCCTTCCTTCCCCCTTCCCACCACCATCTCCGTAACAGGGTCCTAAGGCCCTCCTTCTTTTTGAGTTTCATTTAAATATTTTACCAAATTATTTAGGACTAGCTGCTTGCATACTTCCTTACTATACAGATTATATATTCTTGTATGCAAAACCATGGCCTTGCAAATGACACAGTCTTTGTAGAGTGGGGCCTGCTATTTAATTTTTCTAGAAAGAGGAGCTGTGGATCAATTATTCTTATAAAATGTCATGTATTTTGGTACATAGCCCCCAACGTTTAACTAATTTATATCTGATAGTCTCTTAAAGTTTCTTCATACAAGTATCTAGAGAATTAATTTACAACATATTCATTTTGGAATGAACACCACGAAAAATTGTTGTGCAAAGCTAGACATGCAACAGGAGCTATCCTGTGATATTTCTAAAAGGCCAAGGTCGTGGTTGGTTATAACATCTTTAAAAAACTCTGTATTTTGTGGAGTGAGAATAGGGGCCTCCATTTTATGTTAGACCTCACATTAATTTCTCAGGTGAAGTGTGGACCACTCTATGGAGTGGTCTCTTATTTAGGCAGCTGTTCTTATTAGAGGCTTCTATTTTCTTAAGAGAATATCACTCAAAACCTATTCTTATTGTTAACACATGCAACTGTCATTTATTGATAATGCATAAAAGCAGTACATGAGGCACTAATTTGAGAGATTACCCTCAAATTCATTTCCTCGTAGACCCATTTTATACTTCATATGGAAAAAAAATACATACGGAGGATTATCTGAGGCGTGAACCTCTGGATAATGCATACCTTTCCTCTGGATTAAATTAAACCTCCAGAGCACATTCTATTTGGATGGAATTATATTATCTCCCAATCCCACATCACCTACCCCTGGCCCATGTAGAATTCCTTTTACTGAATGACAATTTGGTATAAAAGTTATTGACTCTATATTTAAAGATGTAGTAACAGATAGTCTCTGAAATCATTGCATTTTCTATAATGTTGTTTTCGAAAGATTGTTAATTTTATGACATAGTTTCCTTTTGAAAGGACACTTTGAGGAAATTCCTCTTTTTGTTCATTATTTCTACTGTCCTTTTTCCAAGCAATGGTTTGTTTTTATGAATGAACTCAGTGAATTTTTATATGTGATCATGAGTCATTCATTGTATTGACTGTTACCAAACTTAGAGCCACATTTATGGCCCATCTGTAAAAGAATATCGGAAATCATATATAAGTTACATGTTAACAAAATGGATTTTAAACAAACTGTGTGGGATTTTATGGCATTAAATCCATAAATAGACCACATTCTTGCTTTCTTCTTGTTCTCTTACCATTATTTTTATATTGTCTCACCTTATATAATTTAAATGTCTATATACATATATTACTTATAATCTCTTAATGTTTTTGTGGAACAAGTGGTAGATAAAAGAAAGGAAGAAGGAAGGAAAATAGATTATATTCAAGTTATAATCAAGAAATGAATAGCATTAATAGTAAGACTTTATTTCTTTTGGTACACTATTGACTAGTAAATAGTTTTTTTTTCAGGAAAAAATGCTATTGGTGACCTGAACCCAATGACATATTCTTTTTTATCCCTTGAGTTCAGAAAAATAATGAGATAGAACCAGAGTTTCAAAGCCTTTCCAGGCTTGGTCTAGGAGTTTAGATTTTCACGGCTAACTCTAGTAAACTTTTTAACGATAATGAACATATGATTTGAACCTTGAATAACCTGGTTACCCGTGATGTTTCAAGTCAATAAAAGACCAGAGGGCAAGCCAGATCTTCCAGAGTAAAGGCAGCATTCACATACACTCAGAGAACCTTAGAGACTTCAAATTCAACTAGAAAAATAAGTGCACTCACAGGGATTCCCAATAGTGAGGCCAGGGGTCAGCACACTACAGTCCCTGGGCCAAATCCAGCCTGCCCTACTTTTGTACTGCCTGCAAGCTAAGAATGGTTTTTAAATGGTTGGAAAAAAATCAAAAGGAGAATTCTATTTTTTGACATGCAAAGAATATATGACATTCAAATTTCAGTGCCCATCAATAAAGCATTATTGAAACCCAACCAGGCTCATTTGTTTACATATTGTCTATGGCTGCTTTTGGTCTAAAACAGCAGAGTTGAGTAGTTGCAACAAAGATGGCTTAGCCGTCAAAGCCTGAAATATTTTCCCTCTGGTCCTTTACGGAATAGTTTGCAGACTCCTGCTCCAGACTATGGCTTGGGGCACAGGACAAGGATTTTCGGCGCTCATCTATGACTCCATGGGGCATTGGGGATATTCTCCATTAAGTTCCTAAAGGCTTCTCAAGGGAAAGAACTTTATTCTTCTATAATCCTCTAGCTGGGCCCTCTCTGTGGGTCAAACTCTATTCTGGCACATGCAAAACTAGCTCCCTGCTGCATTCACAGCCTCAAGGGCAGACTGCAATTCTCCCTTACAACAGGTATTAATTCCCAAGCCTGCTCTTTCGCCTCTTTCACATCTGACCTAAATAACCACCTGATCATCATCATATTCTTGGTGACCAGAGAGAAAATTTCTCTTTACTGTTCTATAAAGGAAACTAGGATTTTTTTTGTTTGTTTGTTTTTGTGGGTTTTTTTCCTTCTTTTCAAAATTTGGAAATAGAGGGCGATCCTTTTCAGACTATAACGCAAAGCCTCTCTAGGAGACGCCCAAAGAAGAGGCTCTGCTCCCTGTGTGACAGCAAAGCTACCTGCAACCCGTGGCCGTGTGAGGAAAAAAATCCAGCTAGCTTTGTTCAATTATTAATTGTGCCTTCAACAGTACAGAGTGTGACTGCCTTGCAGAGGAAATGTACCTGTAATTAGCTCGACCCCACAGGGACATCGAGCCCTGAAAGGGGGAAGATTCCACGCAGAGTTCACAAGTACCTGATTATCAGTCATTTGATGACACAAGGGGGAGAAAAGAAAGAGGGTGCAAGGTATGTTTTTATGAGGAGAAGAATATTTTTTACCTCTTAATTCAATTTTTTCTTTTTTTTTTTCTTTTTGGTTGGGCCATTTTGTTTCTTTTGACACCTGAAATTTATTTTTCCAGTATACTGCAAGTATTTTTAAGGAGCGAAATTAGAAGAATGGTGAATCTTTCATATATACAAAATCAAAACATATACCTGACATGGATGGAGGAGAAGAGATTGATGCATTCTGTGGTTGCCGTTCTTATATTTCTGATTTCTTAATTTTTCTCTCCTCCTCAGTTATTATATATGGTCAAAATGATGTGTCACATATGTGGTTGTTAAATGTGACCTATTTTCTCCCTTAATTAAGTTAGACTTTCATAATCCTGTAACTCCCAGAGGGCAATTGCACCGTAACATGTATTTTCTATGGTGTGTTTGATCTCCCTTCTGTGAGCAGTGCTGCTCCCATCTTCATTTAACTTTGTTTCTAAATCTTTCTTTGCATATTCTAGAGGAAGTCCCTTTCTCAAGTGTGCCTCATGTAGTGTCAGGATTGTTCATGTTACAGAAAGAGTTTCTATGTATTTCGTTTCTACAAAGGTTTTTACAACCTCAGTAGCTTTTTATACCTGAGGGAAAAAAAAGACACATTGATGATTTAGCCTCTTAGGGCAAGAACAACTTAGGAGGTGCTGCACAATTCTCTTGTCCAAGCCAAAGGCCAGATTTCCCATCAACACAGAGTACAGAAATCTCGCTTAAGAAATATTTTGTATGTTGATCAGGTGGGGGGAAAAACATTGTGCTGGGAGGAGCTAAGAGGATTCCAGAGGGTCTGAAATCGCATTTCTCATTGGATGTTGGGTTTTGATCACCTGATTGGAAATTCACTTTCAATTCATTTCCAAGTTTCAATCCTTGCCGGATGGTACGCTTGATCTCCACTAATGCTATAGCCCCATCTGTCTTACTTCTAATTTTATAACTCAAGCAATTATTAATATGTTCAGCCTAGACTCTTTCTTTAAGTTGAATTCCAGAAGTACATGTTGCAGGTAACTATGATCAGCTCTTTTTAGTTAGCGTGTTAGAATTAGTATGACTTCACATTTCACACAGAGAACATATGATCTACAGTTTAAGTTTCAGGAAATTCTTTCTCTGGGGTTTTCTGGTATGGACTTTCCAGAAAGTTCTCTGCGTCAATCTTGGTAGTATATGGATGTGGAAGAATTAAACCTGTGCACTTTGCAGGTAAAGGGTCTTGACCATATAGTGACAATTTAAATGAGAACAATGGTTCAACCTGTTCTATTGATTTCTTTTGTTTATTCTTTGCATTTTTTTATTTGGAGGAAGATTGGTGCTGCACTAGCATCTGTTGCCAATCTTCCTCTTTTTTCTCTTTTCT